AAAATTGATTGTGCTGATGGTTGCACAACTCCTGTGAACATACTATAAACCAGTGAATTATATTCTTTACATAGTGATTGCAGAGTATGTAAAATAAACTTCAATAAAACTGTTACATTAAAAAAATGTATGTAAAGAGCTGCACATCTTGCCTATTGTGTAATAAGGACTCATTTACTGTGCCTTTCCTCTTCCTGGTACCATGCTGACTCTGAACAGAAGCACCCCAACACTGCGGAATGAATCTGGCTTACTGCAGGGGTCCCACTTCATACTCAGTGGAGGGTCATAGCTGGGTCCTGTGGCTAATGTCCTAAGACCCACAGTCTTCCTCCAGTATACAACAGCTAGCTATGTAACTCTTCATTAAGAACATAATGGCTTTCATTTGTTGAATGCTCACATGCCAGGTACAGTGCCAAGAACTTCCTAACTACTTTCTTTAGAACCATACTAGCCTGTCATATTATTCCTATTTAATAAAGGAAGAAGCTGAGGCTTACAGAGGTTACGTGACCGGTCTAAAGCCACACTGAACTGTCCAAGTCCACGGCTCACACTTGCTGTTCTGTTTTTTCTTGCATGCCTTCATTACACCTTCCTTTTATTTATCTACATTTCCACAGATTTTTGCAACTCCAGCAGTCTCATTTTTTCTGGATCACTCTTCCCTTTATGTGTCCTTGTAATGTCTAAGTTACCTCAAATTAGTTGGTATTTCTCTTTACATCATCCTGAGTGTTCTCAGATTGCTGAACATGGCAAATGCAGATGTCAAGCTTGTCTCCCCAAGCAGAATACAGGCTATTGAAGGACAGGCATTCCAGAGTTCTTCATCCTTCGTGTCCAGTCACCTAGCTTGGTCTATGGCTGGAGCACCAGCCCCCACTTGAATGTGGTTTTTACAGCCACCATGTTCTCTGACCATGGACTAGAAGTTTTCTCCATGGGAACAGGACCCTGCTCACCTCATTATGAACCCATCTTTGTGTAGCATGGGAGCTGGCACATAGTAGGAGCTCAGAAAAGGTTTGAAGAAATAAAGACAAGACTGGGACACACTTATTCTATTGGAGATATAGCAAAGGCGGCCTTCCCACAGGGACCCCAAGCCCATCTTCCTTCACTGCCATGGGAAAGGGGGAGCCCTGGAAGGCTGGAAAGGAACCTGAAGACAGGTTGTTGACTTTATGTATGGCCACAGACATTCAGTGTGGCATCTGCTCTGGCCCAGGGACCCTTGATCCTCTGACTAGGTGGGGCTTTCCAAAGCCAGTATCTCATCTTCACATCATCAAATTCAAAAGGTAGGGCAGACTACTAAGAATCTATTACTCTGCAGACCCATCCAAATTCTGCTTCAATCTCCTTTTTTCCCCTAAGATGCTGGTATCTACATCCCTTTGATTTGTACTATAACCACCCTGAACTCATCCTCTCTCCCAACACCCCAGCCTCTGCCCTAATCAAAGCAGTATTCAGTTCTGGAGAGCTTCTGGGGCGGGCTGGCAACAAGAGCCCTGCCCTCTGCCCCTCGCCGGCTGTGTCACTCGGTTAACCAAACTTGGTCCTCAGTGCTCCCACTGCTACACACCTGCTTGCCTCTTCTCTGCCTTTCCTTTGAGATGTTAAAAACTCGCAATAAAAAACAAATACAAAATGCTGTAATTAATAGCCAATTCCAAGCCAACCCAGCATCTCTACTAATAAACCTCAACACTTGCAAAAAGAACAATAAATTCTGCCCCTCTCTGGTTCTGAGGTGGTCTCTTTTATATACTCTGCGTGTGTGTATGTATGTGGGTAAGTGTGTCTACATATATATTTATTTTCCTTTATTTCCCATCCAGGGAGGGGCAGAATAATGAACTGCGTGCGTCAGGGAAGATGAATCTGAGATACTAGGGAGCAGTGCAGTAAAAAGATTAAAGTGTTATTATTGTTGGTTTTTTTTCCCCCCATGGTCCATTGTGACAGCTCGACCGTCATCTGTAAAAAATGTCTCAGCGAGAGATAATCATCGGAAACTCAATAAAGCGTCAGGGGGAGCCTCAGCCCCCATCAATCACTGGGTGCCTGGAAAATTTCAGCCCTCTGTCTCCCTTCCTGCTATCCATATAAATGTCTCTAATATATTTTGTGTGGTGTGTGGGACCCATCCCTGATTTGGAACTTTTGATGAAAAAATATTTATACACAAAATATGTAAATCAGTTAAAAATCACAAGAGGAGTTCTTTGCCACCCTATCACACATTTTCTTATTTTTATAAATGCATCAAATTTATTCTTTTTAATAAAACATGTCAACTAGTCTAACTCCCTCTCCTAGGAGATATATATATATATATGTAGATATATATGTAGATATATAGATATATATGGGGGGGAGGGAGGGAGGTTTGGAGGGCTAAACAGATGGAAACAATTAACCTGGCTGATACATTTAATCCTGGCCACAATGCTTGGAGTGACAGCGCACTGTCCATCCCGGGGACTCTATCGTGGCAGGCACTGCTGAGAAATGACATGTTGAACCATTGGCCCTGGAGCTGTGACAAGGCTCTGAGTGGGTCTGGACAGGGATGAGGAAGAGGCAGCGACATTTTGAAAAACAATAATTTGCCCTAACAGCTTTTGGCCTGAAGAGCCCCAAGCCTTTGGGCCAGCCAGTGGGTCTGAGCTAAGTGTGGGCATATGCAGTGATATGGCTGCTGGGTTCTACACAAGAGCAAGAACCAGTTCTGCTGGTGTTTGGTATCATCGTTCTGCCTCGGTTTCCTCTAGTGCCCACAATGAAGGTGGCAAGGACACACTGTAAGTATCCAGGAATGTGACCCATTGCTGTGGCCCCTATGGGCTCATTATCACCTCTCCATGCTTGTGACGCCAGAAGGAATCAGTTCCTGCAGTACCCTCTCCTCTAGGACCTGCAAGGCACCTCTCCAGCTAATGGCTAGAGTCCAAGGGTCTTGGTGTGGCCCTGGTCTCCTAATGCTGCACCTTTACTGAGCCCTGTGTGGAACAAATCTGCTGTGTGGATGCGGCACCCAAACTAACACATGCTCCCTTACTGGCCTGAAATGTAATTCCTGTTTCCTGCTTCCATTATGGACACAGCACACCCCTTCTCTACTCACACCCAACCTCACCCACCTAGCAGCCCTCCAGATAGCGATCCAAAACCACGCTAGACTTAGAAGCTCAAGTACCATTTTATTTCCTTGACTGCTTCCCAGACATTCTCTTCTCTGTGCTGACAGTCCTTGGTGTGTACGCCTGACTGGACCCTTGTCAAATACTATCTTGGTCATGTCTTCAATCTTTCTGACTACTAAGGACTGTTCTGGCTAGTATCTACATATGAATGATGCCTGGTATTTTCTCATTTTGATCCTTATAAAAGCCTATGGTGTAGAACAGATTATTCTTTATTGATGAGAAAATAAGCTCCGAGGGAAGAAGAATTGCCCAAGGTCTCACAGTTAGGTGATGTTCCAGCCATTCTTTGGATTCCAAACAATATTTGGCTCTTGCAGGACAACAGTCTGCTACCACAGAAGAGCATCTGAAGGCTGTGCCAAGGCCTCTGACTGCAACTGCATCAGAGGACGATGAGCACAACGATGATAATGATGCGTAAGCACAGACTGCACGAGCAGAGCTCCTTCTGTGTCCCAGGTTTTAGGTAAGGGAAAACTATTTCTGACTCTCCAATCACCTGTATTTCACACATAAGGAGTCAGAGCCTCTGAAGGTGTTGAAAATTGTTCTCACCATCACAGCTGTTAAGCTGTTCTTGAACGCCCACCACATCATGGCTCAAGCACATGGTCTCTCTAGGAGAGAAGCTTAAATTGGCAAAATAAGGTTTCTTTTCAGGAGGTAAAGTCCAGATGAAATTTTAAAAGCAGGTCAATCACAAGACCATCACGTTACTCAGACTGGGGACCTGCTGGAAATGCAAAATCCTGGGTCCCACATTAGACCTATGGAATAATCTCTAGGATTGGGGCTCAGGATTTTTTTTTTTTTTGACAGGCAGAGTGGACAGTGTGAGAGAGAGACAGAGAGAGAAAGGTCTTCCTTTTGCCGTTGGTTCACCCTCCAATGGCCGCCGCTGCAGCCGGCACACCGCGCTGATCCGATGGCAGGAGCCAGGATCCAGGTGCTTTTCCTGGTCTCCCATGGGGTGCAGGGCCCAAGCACCTGGGCCATCCTCCACTGCACTCCCTGGCCACAGCAGAGAGCTGGCCTGGAAGAGGGGCAACCGGGACAGAATCCGGCGCCCCGACCGGGACTAGAACCCGGTGTGCCGGTGCCGCAAGGTGGAGGATTAGCCTATTGAGCCACGGCGCCGGCCCAGGATTTTTTTTAAAAAGGAGTTTATTTGTTTTTTAGACTTATTTATTTGAAAGTCAGAATTACGGGGGAGAGGGATGGAGAGAAAGAGAGAGGGAGAGGTAAGGAGAGGGAAAGAGGTACCTTCCATCCGCTGGTTCACCCCCAAAATGGTCGCAATGGCTAGGGTCTAGGGCTGGCCCACACTGAAACCAGGAGCCAAGAACTTTATCTGGGTCTCCCACGTGGGTGCAGGGGCCCAAGAACTTGGGCCATCCTCTGCTGCTCTCCCAGACACATTAGCAGGGAGCTGGATCACAAGTGGAACAGCCGGGACACAAACCAGTGCCCATATGGGATGCCGGCACTACAGATGGTGGCTTTACCTGCTGCGCCACAGTACCGGCCCCCCAGGAGTCTGTTTTGACATGCTGTCAAGGAGATGTTTATTCCCTCTGGAGCCCCCGCAGTCCCATTTAAGTTTGTGTACTCTATGGGCACATGTGCTATCTGCGGGGACTGGGTATGACTGGGTATGCAGTGGTTAGCTTTACACTGGGTGGTTAACTTAGACTCAGTGGATGAGTTGGTAGTATGAGATTACTCTTGAGCATGTCCTTGGTGGGGGGAGAAATATAGTATATAGATCAGGTCCATTACCGCCAGCAGGGATTCCTAGCCACCTCCTGAACTCCAGGGCACTTGTCCACTGGTTTGTGACACGCCAGCTTGCACCGTCCTGTCCCCCATCTGAAGACACAGAGATGGGGTGATCAGCCAGAGCAGGCCAGGACCTGCAGCCCCTGGAGCCATAGGAAAGGGGCACTTAGACTAGTGGGGTTGGCCCAGGTAGGTCTAACCTCGCAAGCCAGGTCCTCTACCTACAGAGGGCCCTATGCCAACCCAGCTTCGCACAACTCATCTTTATTCAGTCACCACTTGGAGCTGAGAAGAGAAGCTGATTTACAGCCTGTTCTGGCCACGTTTCTGCCGTGTTTTATTGTTTTAATTGTACATATGAGAGGCACTCAAGAGTGCTCGCTTGCATCTCTGACAGCCCCAGACACCCAATGTTTATAACAGTTACTTACAAGCAGCCAGCGGCATCCCCGGCTGGGCGACTTGTTTACTGTTACCACTGATTTAGTGCCTCCTCCACCTGAGGACTGGGCCCACCACCCACCAGCCAGCCACAAGTGGAACTCTCCTGGAGTGGACATGGGTGGGCTCAAGGCACAAAATGGGATAAGGTCAAGATTAGGAATAAGACGAGAGGCACAGCTTAGACCCTCACATGTCCCTCCACTGTTGTCCCATCTTTGTGCCTCTGCTCGGACTGTGTTCCCCCCTTAGAATGTCTTTTCTTTTTCCCTTTCCTCCCCCAAAATCTAGCTCAAATCCTACCTTAGAAGTACATTACTTGCTCTGATGGTGAGCCTTGAGTTTCTAGAACTACAGAAATCCCATGGTTGACTGAGACCTAGGAGGCCAGATAATTCAGTGCACCAGGTAGGAAGCCCCTTGATGGAATGCCTGGTGGGCAGACTTCAGCTCTGTTGGTACCCCTTGTGTGGTGAGTTGCTCAGTACCTCCTCAAGTGGCTCCTACCTCATGCAGAGAAATTCTTCAGTAAACAGTAAACCCACCTCTACAGAGAAATTCTTCAGTAAACAGCATCATGCTTTATACATATATGATTACCTCCAGTTACCCTAATAACCCTGTGAAATAGGTGTTGCTATTCCTAAGCCATAGATGAGAAAATTGTAGGACTTTAAGTCACTTGCTCAAGATCACACAACTAGTGTCAGAGCTTAGAAGAATCATGGCTGCCTGCACTGAAGCCCACCCTTTCTCCAGGACACCCTCGTGCCTCTGAAGATGCCATTCTGAGGACCTGAGCAAAAGGAAAGCAGAGTCAGGCCATCAAGACTTTCATACCGCATCTGTCACTGCACAGCTAGCAGCCTACTAGAAACACAAGCTTGACATAGAGTGGGAGACATGGTGGCACGCAGCTCAATAGCTATCCTCCGCTGAGCGCTGGCACCCCGGGTTCTAGTCCCGGTTGGGGCACCGGATTCTGTCACGGTTGCTCCTCTTCCAGTCCAGCTCTCTGCTGTGGCCTGGGAAGGCAGTGGAGGATGGCCCAAGTGCTTGCCCTGTACCCGCATAGGAGACCAGGAAAAGCACCTGGCTCCTTGGCTTTGGATCAGCGTGGTGTGCCGGCCGCAGCGGCCATTGGGGGGTGAAACAACTGAAAAGGAGAGACCTCTCTCTCTCAACTGTCCATTCTGCCTGTCAAAAAAAAAAAAAAAAAAAAAAAAAAAAAAAAAAAAAGAGTGGGAGACATGAACACCCAGTGGAGTAAGCTTCTTCCTGTTAGGACCAATACTCACTAGGCTTGGAGCAACTGGTAACATAGTCTCGCCAAGGAGGGCAAAAAACTGCTTTCCTCCCTAGGCTGTGGGATGCCTTTCAGTTTCCTTGCCTGGTCCCTCACACCTTAAATGCTGGACCTCCCACTCTCTCACCTCAAATCCTATCCTTGGGCAATTTCAGTCACACCCATTGTTTAAATTCCCAAGTAAAAGCTGATGACTCCTAAATCCCTACCGCCTGCCAGACAACCTTGAATTCTAGTCTCCAACTGTTTGCCGAAAGCAGAAGCTGAGGTGTCAGCATGGGGATCTCTTTCCATCAATTTCTACATACAACTGAATATTTGACCTCCTCCTAATATCTCCTTAACATCTATTTCTTCCATCATTGAAGACCACCTTTAGCAATCCCCAGGAATTTAAGTTCATTTTGGAGAGTAACGCAGCTTCTCATCATATTCTCAAAGGAGTCCACCATCCTCAAAAGGTCAAGAACCATTGCTGTTCTCTTTCCTCCAATTTCCTCTTCCCCCTGTCAAAATGGTTCACTGAAACTGCAAACATGGAGGTCAGCACTGTAGTGCAGCGGGTTAAGCCACTGCAGTGCCAGTATCCCATATGGGCACCGGTTCAAGTCTTGGCTGTTCCACTTCCAATCCAGCTCCCTACTAATGGCCTGGGAAAGCAGTGGAAGATGGCCCAAATCCTTGGGCCCCTGCACCCATGTAGGAGACCTGGAAAAAGCTCCTGGCTTGAGCCTGGTCCAGCCCTGGCTGTTGCGGTCATTTGGGAAGTGAACCAGCAGATGAAACATCTCTCTCTCTCTCTCTGTTTCTCCTTGTCTCTGTAACTCTGCCTTTCAAATAAATAAGTAAATCTTGAAAAAAAAAATGTAAACGTGAATTCAACATTCCCTTGTTTAATATCCTTTAATGGCATTCAGAATATAACCTGAGCCCCTACAACTGCCTCTGAGGGCCCTCCCAAATGTGCCGTTCTTCTCTGACATTTCTTCTTATCCTCAAAACCATGGCTGATGGGGCCACCTGCCCTCACTCCTCATTCCACATTCTCCAAAGCTACTGTTCTCTCTGCCTGGAAGGTACATCCCTCTAATTCACACATCTCATATATCACATATCTCTTGATTTTCACGGTACTTATAAAACAGACAAAGGATGTATTATTTGGGGTTAGGGGGGTCTTGCCATGATCACAAATGCCAACATACCACCTTCCTTCAATACTCTGTACACTTTGCCACTGACTTTATGCTCCAGTGATGAAGGTGTGTCAGACTTTCTTGAGCTTATGACTTCCCTGTGAATCTGCGTAGTTGTATTCTGGGTAAGAGGGTTGTATCTTCTACTCAATCCTCCACATCCACACCCACAAGTCAGGACCTTCTCATGAAAATGCCAATCCAATCCTAAGAGCAGAGAACCACACACGCTTTTATTCCTGCCTAGTTTAATCAAGAAGAATGATACAGAGCTGGGTACAGTAACTTGCACACAGCAGGCATTCAGTAAATATACATTGAATGGATGTCAAATAAAAAAAAGAACGAAGTATCCTTATTTCAAAAAAGGAAAGAGAAACATAGTCAAGGTGGCACTAAATCAGGGCTTAGGCTGGTAAGAAGTGAGGAGATCCACAAGATGATTCTAAGAGTCAGGAAGCAGAGCACACAAAGTTGAGGCAAAGTACATCTGGGCTGATCACCCTTAAAAATAAGACCAGTGGCCAGAAAACCGGCACACAAAATAGCCCGAAGTTAGAAAGAAAGCAAAGGTTCAGAGAGATGTAGATCTTGGAAACTGTAGCGTGTGTTTGTTGATGATTCCTGAAAAAAATTCTCAAAAATTTTTTTTTTGTAATTATTCTTCAATACTTAGGAGATTACTGGGTACCAGTATGGGTTCCTTAAGACAGCAACATGCCCAAATAACCTAATTACATTAAAGAAAGGGTAACTGGGCACGTACACACACACACACACACACACACACAGTGAGAGACACGGGCCAGGTGCATTTTTATTTTGGCAACAAATCTGAGATAATCTCTTAACAATTTAGCGACAAGAATGAAGACACAGGAGGGAAAGGAATAAAGTCTGGTGGGTTTATAGCTGTCAGGGCTGAATAATACATTAGAACTATCCTGCATCATGTACTCCAGTACTCTGTATTTCACAGAGTCTTTATAAACATTTTAATCAACGTACACAATGGCAGGGATCCTGTCTATCCCACTAGGGCCTAAAACTTGCCTGAAACACAGGAATATGATTAATACATGATTTTGAATAAATAACTGAAGCTGCAGAAAGCCTAATCACTGAATTTACAAATGATACAAAATAAGAGATAGTTAATATTTTTACCTTTATATCACAAGAGAAATGATAGCCTTTTTTTTTTTTTAAAGATTTATTTATTTGAAAGACAGTTATAGAGGAGGCAGAGAGAAAGAGAGAGAGAAGAGAGTCAGTTCTTCCATCCGCTGGTTCACTCCCCAGATGCTGCAATGGCTAGAGCTGCATCGATCTGAAGCCAGGAGCCAGGAGGCTCCTCTGGGTCACCACATAGGTGCAGGGGCCCAAGGACTTGGACCATCTTCCACCAATTTCCCAGGTCATAGTAGAGGGCTGGATCAGAAGAGGAGCAGCTGGGACTCAAACCAGTGCCCATATGGTATGCTGGCCCTGAAATGGCAGCTTCAACCACTGTGCCACAGCACAGGCCCCATGACTGCCTTTTCCAATATTTTTGTTTCCTCTCTATCTATATACCTACCTGTCTAGAATGCTGACTGGCTGGCATGAGAGTTAAAAATAATTCAGAGGGGCCATGAAGTAGGCTAAGCTTCTGCCTGCGGTGCTGACATCCCATATCGGCGCTGGTTTGTGTCCTGGCTGCTCCTCTTCCAATCCAGCTCTTTGCTTATGGCCTGGGAAAGCAGTGGAACATGGCCCAAGTACTTGGGTCCCTGTACCCATATGGGAGACATGGAAAAAGCAGATGGCTCCTGGCTTTGGATCAGCACAGCTCCAGCCATTGTGGTCATTTGGGTAGTGAACCAGTGGATGAAAGACCTTTCTGTTTCTCCCTCTCTCCGTCTATAACTCTGCCTCTCAAACAAATGAAATCTTGAAAAAAAAAAAAAAAGAATTCAGAAGTTGATCAAAAGCCAATCAGCGGGGCTGGTGTAGTGACACAGTGGGTAAAGCCACAGCCTGTGACACTGGCATCCCATATTGGTGCTGGTTCATGTCCTGGCTGCTCCACTTCCGATTCATCTCCTCAGTAGTGGCCTAGGAAAAGCAGTGGAAGAAGGCCCAAGTGTTTGGGCCCCTGCAACGTTCGTGGGAGCTTTGGACTTGACCCAGCCTTGGCTGTTGTAGTCAACAGGGGAGTGAAAAAGCAGATGGAAGATCTATCTCTCCCTCTGTAACTCTTTCAAAATAAATAACAAATTCTTTTAAAAAATAATGATAAAAACAACCAAACAAAAACAGCAAGAAAGGGAAAAAATGAGGAAATGATCTAGAACAGTACTGGCAAACTATAGTCTATCAGCTAAATCCAGGGTGTTGCCTATTTTGTAAATAACGTTTATTGATTGGCTGGTGTTGTGGCCTAGCCGCCTGCAATGTTAGCATCCCATTTGTGTGCTGAGTCCCAGATGCTTCATTGCCAACCCAACTCCCTGCTAATGGCCTGGGAAAAGCAGTAGAAGATGGCCCAAGTACTTGGGACCCTGCCAGCCATGAAGGAGACCCAGAAGAAGCTCCTGGCTCCTGGCTTTGGCCCCAGCCATTGCAGCCATCTGGGGAGCGAACCAGTAGATGGAAGATCTATCTCTCCCACTCTCTGTGTAACACTGACTTTCAAATAAATAAATATCCCTGAAAAATAAAATTTTAATGAAACACATCCAAGCCCACTCATTTGAGTACTGCCTATAAGTTGCTTTCGCAGTATAATGGCTGAGCTGAACAGTTATAACTGAGACTTAATGGCCTACAAAGGTTTAAAATGTTTACTTTTTGACACTTTCTAGATAGGTTTTGCTGGCCACCAATCTAGAATGTTCAATATGAGTATCAACTTGGAAAGAATCATTAGGACACAAAGTTAAAACTTTGTAGGAAGCAGAGTGTCAGCAGAAGCTGGACTAGATGGCTTCATAGCGCTGAGATTGTGTGAAATCAAAAGTAAGTACTGAGCCCTGGCAGGACCCTGAGAGCAGTGACAGCACTCATGGAGAATCCCCTCCCTCCTTCCCGGCCCCAGCTTCTTAGCAATGCTCCTTGCTTGTTGGTGACAGCACACGAACATTAGGCAGAATGAAGAGTGGTGATGCTGTGTCTGAGTGAGGAGAAAACAGCACATAAGCTGAGTCCCCCCAGTTCAGATTGCAAATAGAGGGCAAGTCTGACAGTCCTCGGGTTCTCTTCTGTCTGAAACATAAAGTGACTAAATTCCCCCAGCTCAGGGGAATCCCAGGAGTATAGGCCATGGCCTGCATAGGAAATAGTCAGCTGAGGAGGACAGGAAAGACGTGGGCAGATGAGAGTTCAAATAACCTCAGCAGAGGCAAAGAATTAGAGAACATTCCCAAGAGCAGCTGAGGGTAGGCTGGAACTACTGCCCAGGACAGGCAAACATCTGTGATGGATCTGGCCTCAGCAATGGAGCTGTAATAGCTGGGCTCCAGCAGAGAGAGGCGGAGAGGCAGCGCGAGGGCAGCCTCACACTTCCCTTGGGCAGCAGTTCTCTGATGACCTGGGCATTCCCCCTGTGCCACTGAGCTGAGAAACCTCCCTGGGGCAGCAGCAACACCTCCACTCTGGGTTATCACATACCCGTGGTGGCCTGGCAGGCCCCCTCAGAGCTCCCATGCGGAGTGCACAGCTCCTCTCAGCTCAGTCCCCTCCAGAGTCAGTATTATGAACCACAATGCTGTCAGCAAAGCTATACATCCTCCTGGCACTACTGCTCAGCTGGTAACCTCAGAGGAATCTCAGCCTCTGTGAATGGCCCAGGACCATGGGCTGGCAATGCGAACCATCTGGACAAGTGAAAACTCAAACACAGAATATTCCCTCTGCATTTAGCCAAACAACCCTGCTTAATTCTCAACTCTACTTTGGAAGAAGCACTCACTAAAGGCAACACGGATTGACTTGCCCAAGTACTCTCCAGCAGATGGTGACCAAGCCCTGTGACAGGTGCAACAGCCTCTTCGGAAGTCCAAACACCACCCATACAACATCCCAGAAGAGGCACTGATGGTGATCCCATTTTATAAGAAGAGACACCAAGGCACAGAGAAATGTCACTGCTTGTCCTGAATTTTACAGTAACTCGAGGGGCCAGTCCCAGAGACAGGATTGTATTTTTTATCTAGGAACAGGGGAAAAGCAGCATTCAGAGTAGTGTACAGGGACTTCTGAGGCTGAGGAAACCACTGAGACAACTTCTAGTTCAGGGGCACAGTCAATCTGCAGGCAACAGAAAAGAACAAATGCACATTCTATGCAGTTGCCTCAATTATTTTCTTGAAACCCACTCCATTGTCCATCTACTCATCCGAGGCTCCACAGGCCAAGGTGCTTTTGGGAGAACATGGTTGAAATATCCTCCATTTTATTAAGTATTGGTATCAGGCCTCTATTTTGTTCCCCAAGACTTCTGCAGTGACATAAATTACAGAACCAGAGATAAAGGACTTCCAACTCTGAGTTGCTAGTAGAGCAAGGCTGGTGGCAGTGACAGAGGAAAGCACCCAGAGCAGCTGGGTGGCCTGGCTTACCTTCCAAAGAATGGATTCCCTGCTCCTTAGCAGTCTTGTAAACACTGCTGAAATCATCCCCAAGGTTTGGGTCAGCCCCCGCAGCAAGCAGAATCTGCACCACACTGGAAGAAAGAGAACAGTGTCAAAAACAGGAAAGTTGCAGGGAGTAGAGACCCGGATATGGAAGCAGGTTTGAGGACTGATTTGTTTCTGTCCATGTGAGTGACAACATGGCAAAGAATGTCAGCTCTGCAAGTGTAAAACACAGGGTAGGGGCAGGTGCTGTAGCACAGCAGGTAAAGCTGCTACCTCCAGTGCCAGCATCCCACATGGGCACTGGTTCAAGTCCCACCTGCTCCACTTCCAATCCAGCTCTCTGCTATGGCCTGGGAAAGCAGCAGAAGACAGCTCAAGTCCTACACCCATGTGGGAAGACCTGCAGGAGGCTCCTGGCTCTGGATTGGTGCAGCTCCAGCCGTTGTGGTCAATTGGGGAGTGAATCAGCAGATGGAAGACCTCTCTCTTTCTCTCTGCCTTTCTCTCTCTGTGTAACTCTTTCAAATAAATAAATAAATCTTAAAAAAAAAAAAAAAGACAGGGTAGGACAGCAGGTTCTGAAAGTTATCAGCTCAGAGGCTTGGGACAAGTTACTTAACACCTTTGTAAGGCCCAGCTTCCACAACTGTAAAATAATACATAGTTTACTCAGTAACCATTATCAGATGCCTACGATGCTCTACATTGTTCTAGAATGTCTCTGCCCTCATAGAGATGGCAGTCTGTTTGGAAGAACAACAATTAAGCCAGCTTCAAACTCTAGACTGGTCCCCATGGTTCCAGGCTCAAGTGAGTTCAAGACTCAAGTCCAGCCGGTGCCGCGGCTCAATAGGCTAATCCTCTGCCTGTGGTGCCGGCACACTGGGTTTTAGTCCCAGTCGGGGCGCCGGATTCTGTCCCGGTTGTCCCTCTTCAGGCCAGCTCTCTGCTGTGGCCCAGGAGTGCAGTGGAGGATGGCCCAAGTGCTTGGGCCCTGCACCCGCATGGGAGAAGCAGGAGAAGCACCTGGCTCCTGGCTTTGGATCAGTGCAGTGCACCGGCCGCAGCGTGCCAGCCATTGGAGGGTGAACCAATGGCAAAAGGAAGACCTTTCTGTCTCTGTCTACTCTGCCTGTCAAAAAAAAAAAAAAAAAAGAAGACTCAAGCCCAGTCCTTTAGACTCCACTGCTAGGCCAGTCCTGGTAGACAAAGGCTCTGAGACGACACTTGTAGGCTCGGGCTCAGGGCCAGTTCTCAAATACCTAGGACCCAGGCTCAGACCCTATGGACTCAGAGCCTAAGCCTGTTCCAGTGGACTGAGACACATCCCAGTGCCTGGCTATCTCTTGCAGATTCAGGCTCAAGGCCTATCCTTGACTCAGGGTATTCAGGCTGGCCCTTAATTCAGGCTGCCACTCCCAAACAACAGGTCAACCCCAGTGCATCCAGGCTCCAGGCTCCGGGCACCAGACCAGCCAGCCCCAGGACTCTAGCAGCAAGTTTACCCATGGACCACATAAGATGATCTGCACAGAATCGTTGGATGGGCTGATTAGTGTGAATGACTTTTCCAAACAAAGCCAATCTGCAAAGACTAGAACAAGTCCCTTCTTCAAACATGCAGACATCCAACACACAGTCACAATCAATAACAGAGAAACAGGACTACACCAAAGGAGCACAATAAAGTATCAGTATCCAACCAACCCTAAAGATGTAGAGATTCATGACCCAGCTAAGAAAGAATTCAAAATAATTGCTTCAAGGGAGCTCAGCAAACACCAAGAAACCACAGAGAAATAATTCAACAAAATCAGGAAAATAATGACTGAAACCAGAAATTTAACAGAGAGAAAGAAATTACTATTTAAAAAAATCAGACAAATTTGGGGGCATAAAAATACAATGACTGAACTGAAAAAATGCAATAGAGATCATCACAGCAGGAATGATCAAACAAGATAAATCAGTGCTTTCAAAGATAGGTTATTTAACAATATACAATCAGAGGAGAAAAACAGGGAAAAAATGAAGGAGGTTCACAGAATTTAAGGGACAGCATCAAAAAGATGTTTGAGTTACAGAAGTTCAAGGAGAGACAACAAGGTAGGAAGTTTATTTAAGGAAATAGTAGCAGAATATCTTCTAATTCTGGAGAAAAAATAAAATATCCAGATACAGGAAGGTCAAAGACCTCCAATCAGATTCAAGCCAAATAAGATTCGACCAAGGGGCTGGTGCTGTGGTGAAGTAGGCTAACCCTCTGCCTGTGGCGCCGATATGTGTCCTGGCTGCTCCTCTTCCAATGCAGCTCTGCTTATGGTCTGGGAAAGCAGTGGAAGATGGCCTCTGCACCCACATGGGAGACGCAGAAGAAGCTCCTGGCTTCAGATGGGCCCAGCTCCAGCTGTTGTGGCTGTCTGGGGAATGAACCAGCAGACGAAAGACCTCTCTCTCTGTCTATCCTTCTGTCTGTAACTCTACCTCTCAAATAAATAATTAAAAGATTCTACCAAGATATACTATAATCAAATTGTCAAAAATCAAAGACAGAAATAGGATCTTGCAAGCAATAAACAACCAAATAATATATAAGGGAGTTCTATCTAAGCTAACAGATTACTCAGTAGAAAGCTTACAGGCCAGAAGCAAGATGATCTGAAGTGCTGCCAACCAAGAATATTGTACCCAGCAAAGCTATCCTTCAAAATAAAGAAAAGATAAAGACTTTCCCAGACAGACAAAAGCTAGGTAAGTTGATCATCACTAGATCTATTCTTACAAGAAATGCTAAAGGGAGTTTTTCAAGCTGAAAAAAAAAAAAAAAAAAGGATATAAACAAGCAACACAAAAACATACAGGGGCCAATGCTGTGGGAGGCGGGTGAGGCCGCCTCCTGCAGTGCCAGCATCCCACGTGGGTGCTGGTTCGAGTCCTGGCTGCTCCACTTCTGACCCAGCTCTCTGCTATGGCCTGTGAAAGTAGTATATGATGGCCCAAGTTCTTGGGCCCCTTCACCCACATGGGAGACCTGGAAGAGGCACCTGGCTCCAGATTGGCTCAGCTCCAGCCAGTGTGGGCATTTGGAGAATGAAGCAGCAGATAGAAGACTTCTCTTTTTTTTTTTCTCTCTCTCTCTCTGGCTTGCTCGCTCTTGCTCTCTTTGCCTCTGCCTCTCTAACTCTGCCTTTCAAATAAATAAGTCTTTAAAGAAAAAAATATATAAAAGTATGAAATTCACTGGTATAAGTACACAAATTCAAAATATTCTAATAGTGGTATACATATTACAACCTTAGTATGAAGGTTACAAATATAAAAAATAATAGCTACAATTGTTTAAGGGATACATAAAATAAAAAGATTCAGGGACAAGTATTGAACATAGTGGCAGAGATACCACTTGGGATGCCTTCATCCCATCAAAGTGTCAGTGTTCAAGTTCCGACTCTGCTTCAATTCCAGCTTCCTGCTACTGTGTACCTTGGCGGGGAACAGTGGATGGATTGTTCAAGTGGCTGGGTTCCTACCACCCATATGAAAGACCCTGTTTCCAGCTCCTGGCTTTGGCCTGACTCAGTCCCAGCTGTTGTATTTGGGGAATCCATCAGTAAATGGAGAAATTCTGTCTCTGTTTCTCTCTCTACCTTTCAGAAACAACAATAACAACAAAGATATAAAGTGTGACAAAAAAATCAAATGTGGGCTTATGTGGAAAAAAGTTATATGTAACTTTTTATGTTACATAAAAAAGATGTTTTATGTAAGCCTCAAAGTAAGCACAAAGCAAAAACTTACAGTAGATATAAAAAGACGAAATGTAAGGAATCAAAGTGTACCACTAAAGAAAAACACCAAATCATAAAGGAATACAGCAAGAAAAGAAACAAAAGATGTACAAAGCAACCAAAAAATAATTAACAAAATGGCAAGAATAAGCCCTTACCTATCAATAATTATCTTGAGTAGAAGTGGATTAAATTCTCTAACGGAAAGACATAATAGTTGAATGGATAAAAAATAATCTAACTAAATGTTGCCAACATGACTCATTTTACCTAAAGAATACACAGACTGAAAATGAAAGGACAGAGGAAAATATACTTCATTCAAACAGAAACCAAAGGAGAACACAAGTAGCTATACTTACTAGATAAAATGCAAGGATACACCAAAAAGTTCATAGAAAAATGGAGTTTATTTTGCTGCAAAATATTTTAGAAATCTATATGCAGTTTTTTCATAATACATATTTTCCATGGACTTTTTGACAAACCTTTGTATACATGGATTTCAAAAAAAATTTGTACCAAAATAAACTTATATTTTAATTCTATTTGCCATAAATGTTTGAAGTAACCTTATAGATTTTCATTCAAAAACTGTAAAATGAGACAAAGGAGGTCAATGAAAAAGGGGTCAATTCATTAAGAGGATTTAACAATCATAAATATATATGCACCCAACATCAGAACACTTAAATAAAGCAACTATGAAGATATGAAAGGAGAAAGAGACTGTAATAAGAGGTACAGTACCAGCAGGCAACCTCAATTTTATACTTTCAGCAAAGGCCAGATGATCCAGAGAGAAAACCAGATAGGAAATACTGAACCTATTTTAGACCAAATGGACCTAGCAGGCACATCCACGACACCCCATCCAACAGCAGTAACACACATTCTTCTCAAGCATACATAAAATATTATACAGAATGGATCACGTGTTAGGCTGCAAAATAAACCTTATCAAATTTAAGAAGGCTAAATCATACCAAGTATCTTTTCTGACTATAACTGTATGAAACCAGAAATCAACAGTGGGAGGAATTTTGGAAAATTCACATATATATGGAAATTAGCAACATGCTCTTGAACTAATGGATCAATGAAGAAATTAAAAGAGAAATTGAAAAATATATGAGACAAATGAAAATGGACACATAACATATCAAAAAAAAATTTTTTTTAATTTATTTAGTTGAAAAACAGAGTTGCGGGGGGGTGGTGAGGGAGAGTGGGAGAGAGAAAACGAGCTCTTCCATCCGCTGGTACACTTCCCAAATGGCTGCCAGAGCTGGGCCAAG